CCGCGGATACGACGGGCCAATTGGATGTCCTTTGGCATGATCGTGACACGTTTGGCGTGTATGGCACACAAGTTTGTGTCTTCGAAAAGACCTACCAAGTATGCTTCGCTAGCTTCCTGCAAAGCCATCACGGCGGAACTCTGGAAGCGGAGATCGGTCTTAAAATCCTGTGCGATCTCACGTACCAAACGTTGGAACGGCAATTTGCGGATCAACAGCTCAGTACTCTTCTGGTACCGACGGATTTCACGGAGAGCGACGGTTCCCGGGCGGTAACGATGTGGCTTCTTGACTCCGCCAGTGGCAGGTGCGCTCTTACGTGCGGCTTTGGTAGCCAACTGCTTCCTAGGTGCCTTTCCACCGGTTGACTTGCGAGCGGTTTGCTTAGTACGTGCCATTATGATTGGTTTAGTTGTACTTGTTCGGACTGCGAATAATTGTTGTATAGTTCATCATAGTGTCAAGCACCGTTATTTATACACAAATTGGAACCGTATCCGACGCTCTCGTTGGTCGGTTGGGTCATGAGAGGGAGAAACTCGGTTGAGCATTTTAATTGGCTGCTCGCGAGCCATGAAACCTATATAACAGACGTCGTCWGTTGTGTTGGCAACATTCAACGTTCGATCACCRAGGCAGCAACTCTTCGTTTRACAATAACTCATTCAAACTTTCGAACATGACAGGACGAGGCAAAGGAGGAAAAGGTCTTGGAAAAGGAGGCGCCAAACGCCATCGTAAAGTGTTACGTGACAACATCCAAGGAATCACTAAGCCCGCAATTCGTCGGTTGGCACGCCGTGGAGGAGTGAAACGTATCTCCGGTTTGATATATGAGGAAACTCGTGGTGTATTGAAAGTATTTCTGGAAAACGTAATCCGTGATGCTGTTACATACACCGAACATGCCAAGAGNTATTAGAAGTGCTATTTATGGTAATACTTTACAATTCAGTAATTTTATAAGAAATAAGGTAATATAAGTGATTSAGATTCTACTTTTATCACCTGTTAAAGATTAAAATTCAATTACGTCATTTTATGGTAAATTGAAAATTATGTATGATTTTGTATAGCATGAAGAACGTTTACAAAACATAAAATTTAAAACTGAATGCATTTGGAAATTTATTCTTTTTTTGATAAGTAATATTTTGAATATGAATAAATTTAATAATGCATATATATAAAATGTCCAATTACAAAAATAAAACTATGTACAATACTACTTAGTAGTTAGTACTTATGCATCAATTATTAAAAAATACTACGGTTCAGTGTGTTGTGATATTAAAAATAGAGTTCATTGAATATTTATTCCAACATAACAACAAAATCTGTAAAGTATTCTAACTTATAGTAACTATAAGTATTAATAAACTACTATTTTCAGTTATGGAACAATTTACAACAATTAGGATCATCACTCATCAGTAATCATAAATCTTTGCCATAATAATAATATAATATTCAACTGCTGCTACAATGACTTGGAAAATGCTTTCATGGTTATGACTCAATAAGCTGGAAAAAATCAAAAAGATGGGATATTATACCTACCTAGTAGAATAAAAATTGATTGTAAATATCACTTGGTATAAAACTCTATGATTGATAGGTGTTATAGGTAGGTTATAATATTCACACATAACCATAGTCTCAATCTCTCAATTACTGTGTAATTTTCACTGTAATTGTGTAAGAGGTATGAGTTATAACTTATAGGTAGCAGAAAAAACGTAAATAAATATAAGTAGATATGATGTTTATTTCATTGCAATTAATTGATCTATTATAATGCATTAATAATTTATAACAAATTCAAAGTT